TTTTATGTTGTGTAATATGTGCATACAAAAAATTAATGTGCACATGTGCATATTGTGCACATATATTTTACACACTGATATGAAGATAGAGAAGTTAGATAGCGTGAATGAGGTATTATTTTATTATTTGGATGAACAGATCTTTCATGAATAAAAAGTGAGTTTTTAAACGAAAAAGTTTTGGAAGTATTAGTAGAATAAAGAAAACATGTAAATGACATTATAAAATAAAGTATTTTGGAACGCGTGTGTTGCATTTTTAAATTTTAATAAAATATAATTTCTAATTTAAGTAATACAAACTATCAATCAAATTTTCTTTTAATGTGATATATCACTGATAGGATGTGATTGCATATTATTTGTTATAGGAGTAAAGCTGTTGAGTCAAATCTGCCTATATGATTAGTTACAAAAAGAACTTTTATGTATGAATTTAACAGCAAATTCAAGTCAAATAAAAAGGAAACAACTGAAAAATAACAAAATACTAGAACTAAAAAACGCCAATGTCCTTAGCATTTAAACTTGACATTTTCAGAAAATTCTGCAAATATTACTATTAGTTTATTTGTGAATGAACATAATCAAGAGTTAAGGTTAGACACCTATGAATTTAGTATCAAGTATAGAGAATTGTCAAAAGAGTTGATGGACGAAATTGAGATAATGACTAAATCTGGCAATCTTTCAATTACTGTATAACGTAATCTTTTAAAGGCTTGATTTCCAAATGCTAACTATACAGATTCAGATTTGTCAAATGCTATACAAAGATTCAAGATTATCAGCCATAATAATATGCAAAATGATGCGTCAAATCTTCTTAATTATCTTGTACAAAAAAAGCAAAATGATCTTCACTTTTTTCTTAAATTTGAACTTGATACTGACAATCATCTTATAAGGGTATTCTGGATAACACCTGAACAAATTATTCTTTGGGTTATGTATCATGATATAATCATTAATGATAATACAGCTAAAACAAATATGTATAATATGCCATTAAGTTTATTTGTTGAAGTAGATAATAATGGACGTACAAGATTACTTGCATAAGCTATTATTAGTAATGAAACATTTAAAACTTATCAGTAGATTTTGGAGTGTACATTTTAAGCAACTGAAAAACAACCAATAGTATTTTTTACAGATGCTAATCCAGCAATAGATGCTGCAGTTCCACTTCAATTTCCTAACAATTATCACGCACATTGCATATATCATATTAGCCAAAATTTGCCAAAAAATTTGAAAGCTAAATTAGGAAATTTGTATGATAATTTTATT